ATGCGCTCGATCCTGCAACGAGGACGACACGGTCACCTCCACCCACACATCCGAGTCAGGATAACAAGTCCTGGGTCAGGTCCCTAGTCAGAACTAACAAGTCCAGGTAAGGTCACAAGTCAGGACTGACAAATTCCAGGTCATGTCCCAAGTCAGGATAACAAGTCCCAGGTCACGTCACAAGTCAGGACTGACAAAGTCCAGGTCATGTCCCTAGTCAGGACTAAAAGTCCCGGGTCAGGTCACAAGTCAGGATAACAAGATCCTCCTCAGGCGCCAGGTCAGGATAACAAGTCCCAGGTCAGGTCACAAGTCAGGGTAACAAGGTCCAGTTCAGGCCCAAAGTCAGGACTAACAAGTCCCGGATCAGGTCACAAATTGGGACTCACAAGTCCCGGGTCAGGTCACAAGTCAGGACTAATAAGTCCCAGGTCAGGTCACAAGTCAGGACTAGCAAGGTCCAGGTCAAGTCACAAGTCAGAACTAACAAGTGAGGACTAACAAATCTGAAGTCAGGTCCCTAGTCAGAGCTAACAAGTCCCAAGTGAGGACCCACGTTTAGACTAACAAGCATCAAGTCAAGACTACCAAGTCTAAAGCCGGATACTAAATGATGACCAGTAGGTCCCAAGTCAAGACCAAGGAGTCTAAAAACAGGTCCCAAGCTAAGACTAACAAGTTGCAAGTCAAGTACCAAGTTAATAGCAACAAGTCCATCGTCAGGTCCCAAGTCAGAACAACCAAGTCTCAAGTCAAGACCACCTAGTCTGAAGTTGGTTCCAACATTAAGACTGACAAGTCTAAAGTCGGGTTCCAAGTCAAGACTAACAAAGAAGAATGGAGTCTGTAGTAAAGGTCGTACGTGGGATCGTTGGCCAGGTTGAGGAACAAACAGACGTTATCCATCGATCCGTTCTCCTCAAAGTCCGACTTGAAGAAGCGAGCGGTCTCCATGTTGACCTGCAGGAGGAGAAGCACGAGTCATGTTGGTGACCGAGTTGTTGATCAGCTCGTTTAATGATAGAAAATGTGTTGATGTTTGTTGTGTCGCGTTTTCCTATTTAAAGAGCCCACGGTCTGCTTGTTGGTTCCTTGTTTAACTCGTTATTGTTGTTTTGTGCAGGTAAACGGCCTGCAGTTCACCTGAAACGCTCTGGATGGTTCCTGTTGGTCACAGCTGAGTCAGTCGTGGCTCCAAGGAGGGCAAAATTATTTTTCTTTTTTTACAGAATCTAGTCCAAGCAAAGAATCTATTTTGGGGAAATTTTTAAATGAGACATTTAGAATAAAATTATTTGAGGGTTGTTTTGATCAAATATCAGGATCTTAAGCTGAGATTTGGGTAATTTTTCAGATAAAACCAAAACCCACAGACGAGGAGTTCAAAGACCAGTGGAAAGCTAAAAAATCTGACAATTTGGTATTTTTTTAAAGACAGCACGCCTTTCTAACCAGCTGCAGGTTTTGGGGTTCAGAGTAGGAAGTCCAACACTGGCACATCTCGGCCTTCAAAGGGAGTCTGATTTTTGTGGTGAAGCAGAAACAGGAAGTTCTCACCCCCATAGCTGCGAACACGATGGCGAAGTTGTCCTCGCTGTAGTCCATCACGTCTTTGGACTTCTTCACCAGACCGGCCTGTCGACAGATCTGAGCGGCGATCTGACGGAGAAACAAGAAAATACATCTATCAGCATTCACTCACCTTTGGCCCAAATGGCTTTCCACATTAATTAAATCTCACTAATTAAAGGAGGGCGACCCATTTACAATGGATTAATTAGCGTAATTCATCAGATTTAATTAAGAGTCGGCCCGTGGATCAGACGGAACATCACAGGCAGGATATTAACGGCTTTGTTTCACTTTGAAACACTGATCAGGATCTCCCGGGACGACGAACACAGAGGAACCGAGCACGTGATGGAGTTCCTGTTCAGGATTAACTCTGAATTTGGGGGAAAACGCTGAAAGAAATGTTGTAAGCACAAAAAAATAAAGACATGGATCACAAAGAAGTGGCAGCAGGAAACACTGTTAAAGCTGTTAACAATACAGAAAATATACACATAAATAATACTGTATTATATACAATTATATGTATTGATATGTAATATATATACTGTGTCTATAAAATGTATTCAAGCACTGAATCCCTTTCAATGCAATTTGTCTGAACTGACAAGAAACACCATCCCCATGATGAAGCACGGTGGTGGCAGCGTCATGATGAAGCACGGTGGTGGCAGCGTCATGATGAAGCACGGCGGTGGCAGCGTCATGATGAAGCACGGTGGTGGCAGCGTCATGATGAAGCACGG